GGGGACTAGGGCGTCGGACAGGGGCGGGCGGGGGGGAGGGGCGGAAGAGGAGAAGCCAGGCGGGCGGGGGCGGGGCATCCGGGGCAGCCCAGGGATAAAGACTCGGTGGCTGGCTGGATCCTGTCACCGGATCGCTTTTCGGCTGCAGGTCCGTCCGCTTCCGAGAAATCATGGCCGTATCCCCGCGCCGCCCGCTGCTTCTGCTGGCCGTCCTGGCCCTCGCCCTAGCCCTGGCCGTGAGCCCTGCGGCCGGGCAGGGCCCCAGAAAGAAAGGCCTGGTGGGCGGCCTGATGGAGGCGGACGTCAACGAGAAGGGCGTACAGGAGGCGCTGTCCTTTGCCATCAGAGAGTACAACAAGCAAAGCAACGACGCCTATCAGAGCCGCGCGGTGCGCGTAGTGCGCGCCTTCAAGCAGGTGCGTCCCGTCTGGGAGGGGGCACAGGGCCGGGATGCGGGGGCCGGGGAGGGGGCGCGGAGCCCCGGGTGCAGGGCCCGGGGGCGCCGGGCCAAGCTACAAGGCAGGGGCGCCGGGGCCGGGCAGCCCTGAACGCGGGAGGCCGGCCCTCGAGAGGGCGTGGCCTGCGCTCTCACCAGCGCCCCCCCGCCAGCCCCCCCAGCTCTCGGGAGGGCAGCTCCCAGCCCCTTGAGGCCCCGGGGATCGCAAAGGACGCGGACGGACTTCTCAACCCGGCGCAGCCCCCGACCTTTTCCGGCGCCCGCAGCCCTTCGCGAGACCGGCCGGCCCTCTCGGTCGGCGCTGGGGTCAGGGCCCAGCCTCCTGGGACCCGGGGGCTTGGCTCGAGATGACAACTAAATGGCCGCAGGCGAGGTAAAAACAGACCCACACCTGTCTGTTCTCCTGGCTCTGCCACTGAATGCCCTTAAGCACTTTTTCCTTCTAACTTTTTATTTTGACATAATTTCAGACTTACAAAGCAGTAGCAAAAATAGCACATAGAATCACTGTAGATTCTTCACCCAGATTCTTCAAACGTTAAAAAGTTGCCATAGTTGCTTGATCCACCTCATCCCAACGTACACGTGTGTAGGGATGTATATATGCATTTATGTTTCTGAACCCTTTGAAGGTAAACACTTTTGTGTATATTTCCTAAAAACACGGGCATTTTCTTCCATAACCACAATACAGTTTTGAAAATCAGGACTCTTTAATACACAGGCCTTATTCAGATGCCACTGATCATCCCACCGTGTCCTTTATAGCCAAGGACACTCCCAGGCCACATGATGCAGCCACTGTCCTGCAGCCCCTTTTACTCTGGAGCAGCCCCTGGGTTGTCTCATGACCTTGGCCTTGTTTCTGAAGGGTCCAGCCAGTTGTGGCTCAGACTGTCAGTGGGTTTGGGCTGGCCTGATGTTTCCTCAAGATGAGAGAGCCTCTGGTCACACAGAAGAGGCATGCTCCCCTCTGAGCCTCCTGTCAGCAGATGCCACTAAACGTACCTGGCCACCATGTTGTCATGTAGTGGCATTGGGGACAGGCACTCTGAACATCCTCCAGAGCACCCGGCGGTCATCAGCAAACAGACAAGTCCGTGAGCTGGCCCGTGGTGTCCAGTGTGTCCCAGAGCAGGGTGTCTGGCATAAGAATACAAAGCTTCCTGGACTGTCACTTCCGCCTGCAGGTCACATCCATGGGAGCAGCCTCTGGGCTGTGACATCTCACTCCCACCCTGAGATGGGCACACGGTCGCTGCCAGCCTGACCTCTGCCTCTGCCAGCCTGCCTGGGGTTCTGGCCAGATAAGGAGCCCATTGTCAGAGTTGAGAAGAGGGCAGGAGGGAGAGTTAGGATGGGCTACAGGGCCTTGCGCTGGTCCTTGAAGGAAGGCTAGAATTTAGACCATCCGGCCTGCATCCCATTGGAGAGCAGGACGCAGCCACACAGCACCGAGAGTGTGGTCCTGCATGCCAGCCATAGGGCTCCCTGCCACCTTCTCGTGAAACTTCAGAAGGATGGGTCAAGACCAGACCCATTTCTCCTCCTGCAGCAGTGGGCTGGTGCTGTCCCCTTTGGATAGGACCTGCTCTCTCCATTCACCAGGTCCCCTCCAGCCTGCTGCTCTCCAGTGTGACACTAGCTCACTGGCCACATGGGGAAGCTGACAGCAGAGGGATCATGGGTCTACCAGGTAGGGTCTGGAGCCTGGTCCCTGGCCCCTCATTCTGGGTCTCTCCAGGTTCTAACAAAGCATGTCTGGGATGCCTGTGTGAAGCCAGAGTTCACTTCTATTCTGTAATCTCAAGTGTAAAAGGCACGCAATATATGACATACTTGAGAAATATTCCCGTCAAAAACCACACCTAAGAGGAAGGCATTCCAGGCAGTCTTTTATTGGCCTAAACGTCTGCGAACGTGAAACTCTCATTTTCTTCTGTTCCGGGAGGGAATAAATAAACCTGGGCTACATGCAGGGAATGGGATGCTGTGGGCTCCACCCTGGGGACTGGAGTTCAGTGTAAGTGTAATCACCAGGCAACAGCTTTCCTGCGGATGCAGTGTGGACTCCATGACACAGGGCCACCACCTTGCGCTCAGTCCCCTCCCTGGCTCTGGGCGCCGGCCAGTTGCTTGCCTGTACCCTGGCTGGCTCCTCGGAGCTGTGCCTTCTGTTCCTGGACCCAGTTAGAGTGTTGGTCCCTGGCTTCCCCCTCTGTGCCCCTGTGGGAGATGCCTTGTCAGAGCAGCTGGTAAACAAGTTCCTGGGAGGGCCTGGGGCGCAGCGGCAGTCAGGAGGTGGCTGTGCTTCCTGGGTGTGGCACTGGCAGCCTGTGAACGCGCGGGGCACTGGGAAGAAGGTAACCATGTGTGTGCAGCCGGCAGGTGTAAGCGTGGGTGTCTCTCCGTGTCCAGGTTGTGTCTGGGATGAACTACTTTTTGGACGTGGAGATTGGCCGAACCACGTGTACAAAGTCCCGGGCCAACTTGGACAACTGTCCCTTCCATGACCAGCCACACCTGAAAAAGGTACGTGCCTGATGGGAGCAGGGGTTGGGGGTGCCCATGGGGGCGCATCGCGGGTGCCTGCTGGGGCTGTGAGGGGAAGGTTATGTGTGTGCACGTGACTGCTCTGGATTTATGGGGTTTTAGCCAGGGAATTGGGGCACCGTCTGCTTTGGGGATTGTTGCCTGTAGGATGGAGGACCCAGCTGTGGGTGTTTGCTAGGAAGGGAGAAAGGGCCCTTTAATCCCAGCCTCGCGCCCCCATCCCCGGGCAGATTAGAGGGAATTGGAGGCCTGTAACCGGCCCACCATGCCACCTGCTCACCAAAGGCCAGACTCTCCCAGGGCCTCGGCTGGTTCTCAGGTGTCTCGGCCTCAGGGAGGGCTGCACTCCTTTGTCACCCCTCCCGGGCCCCACCTCTGCAGGGGCTTTCCTGGACCTGGGTCCCAGCCCCTGGGTCCTACCCTCTGGTTCTGTCTCAGTGCCAGCCTGCTGGGGGTGGGGGCTGGGGCCAGTGCACTTTCCTCTTTAACTGTAACCCTGACCAACCATCCCTCTTTTCCCTTTCACAGCAAAAGCTTTGCAACTTCCAGGTTTACGTCGTCCCCTGGATGAACACCATCTCCCTGGTGAATTTCAGCTGCCAGGATGAATAGGGGACTGGGCATCAGGCAGGCCGCTGACTGCCTCTCACTCATGCCTCCCCAGAGCGCTCACACCTCCCTCTGATGGGTGACCCGCCTGGTGGATGTGCCCTCCGTGTGCCGTCCCAGCAGACACACAGAGAAGGCTCCTTGGGCCTTTTTTGAACTGCTAAGGGGCTCTAACTCATTTCTTTCTTCTAATTGCTTTCCAAGTGAACCAAATGCCCTTGCTCTGCTATTTTACTCAATAAAAAAGTAACAGCAGCTACTCCTTGAGTTGCTCACTGTCTCGGGCAGTGCAGAGGGAAGGATCTAAGCAGTTACTTTATGGAGGCACCCTGTCTCGCTGGCTCTGAGGGCAGGCAATGGGGAGGGCCAGGGAGCGGGTGTGGCAGGCGAGCTGGGCCTTCAGCTCAGGTACTCCTGATAATTGGACAAGGGAGAGGAGGAGGGACCTAAGCTGCTGACCCCAGAGACTCAGCTGCTGTGTCTGAAAATGAGTCAGACTGTGTGCTGGGGCTGGACAGGAGGCTGGGGAGGTGATGGAGCCCGAGACCTGGGTCACCCTCCGAGGGGCTGCACGTGTGCTGAGCTGATCAGACTCCTGGGATGACTCTCACTGGTCACGCAAAATAATGATTTAATGTCTACCTTTTTCCACAAACAACTTTGGGCACCTACGAAAAAACAAAGACCAAAAGTATGTGTAACTGATGGAGCGAGGGAGTACTGATCAGAATCAAGGTCAAACAAGGTCGGAATTGGGAATTCAGTAGAATGAGAGCAGGCCTTCTCTGATACATTTCGGAAGCCATGGAATCTACAAGAATTTTATGGATTTACACCCCTCCTTCTCTGGGCTCCTAGATAAAACGGGTCTTAGCGCAGAGCTCCACGTAAGGGGTGTAGAGCTTAAGACACATAGTGGGCCGCCTTCTTCCCCTAAGGGCTATATAATTAATAGGCAATGTCACCTCTTAGTATCACCATCGTTCTGCAGCAGAGTGGATATTTAGTGCCCCAAGCTGGGAACAATGCCGCTCCCTGCACTGTCCGCACTTTGACCATTCGCTCCCAAGGGTGACGCTTCCTCTGTTCCCAGATGCCCACCACGCTCAGGTCAGCATTGCCCAGCCCTCCTGTTGTGTTGCAGTGACCACAGAAGGCGAAGTGACAAAGGGAACTCACCCAGATGACTCCAAGGCTGGCACCCCACGTGCCATAGCCACACCTGCAAAGCTAGAACCGGGACGCCAGGGAGAGGGTGGGGACCGTCCCCTTCCACCTGCTGCCCCCTGACTCACTGGGCCCCGAGGGCTTCCCCCCCGCCCGCCGCCCCCCATCTCTGTCTTCACCGAGCGCACAGCAGCGCCTTCTCACTCCAGACCAGAAGGGCTTTGAGATTCAAGGAGTGAGGCGCTGTCTGCAGGCCTGGCACTGGCCAGGTTTGGAGCTGGGGCTGGGCCCTGCAGGGGGTCCTGGGACTTGTGGACACAGAATTGGTGGCCTGGGGCAAAGGCCTCCCTGCCGAGATTCTCCTCCTGGGTGGAAAATCTTGCCTTTCAACAAGCAGCCAGCAGCTAGGCTGATTTCCCATAAAGTCATCCCTTTGTGATGCTTCCAGTGCCCTGTTTCTCGTGAAAGTCTGGGCAGCTGCGTCGGGGTGTGCTCTGCTTGGCTCACCTGCTTCTCCCACCACCTAGTCCCCGCTTCCGCAGCCCACACTGCAGGGTTCAGGTTGGTGCCACCCCAGGTGGGACAGGGGGTGGGATAGTGTGACTGGGAGGCCTCACTGACCAGGAGGTCACCCAGACCCATGTGTCTAGGTAGGAAGCACAGCCCCTGAAACTTTCATCTGCACAGTTGTACTCTTTTTTTTTTTCTTTTTGCGATACGCGGGCCTCTCACTGTTGTGGCCTCTCCCGTCGCGGAGCACAGGTTCTGGACGCGCAGGCTCAGCGGCCATGGCCCACGGGCCCAGCCGCTCCGTGGCATGTGGGATCTTCCCGGACCGGGGCACGAACCCGTGTCCCCTGCATCGGCAGGCGGACTCTCAACCACTGTGCCACCAGGGAAGCCCTGCACAGTTGTACTTTTATGCTTGTTTATTTTAAACGTAAATGTAAGTGTGGTTAAAAAGCAGAATTCAACTGAGTGAATTTGAAGGTCTTGGTTTTATCCAATGGCTCATGAATGTGGCAGCATCTCATAGAGCGACCTGAAGGGCACGCAGAGGAGCCCTAGAGCATGGAAGTTGCTATAGAAAGGAGGGTGGGTGAGGAAGTCAGCCAAAGGAAAGAGTTATTTTGGGCCTAGACATCTTTGGGAGGCAGGGGAGCAGGAGGCCTGGGTTTTACCGCGCAGGCTGCCTCTTCTTCCTCTGCGGATGGGGAGGCCCCACGTGACAGGTGACCTCATCGTGCTGAGCAGAAAATCCCATGCTGTTAAGATGACATTTCTGGGGAAGGTCAAGACTGCACTTAGGTGAGGTGTTAAATCTAGGTTTTGTATCCTGGGCTTTAGCACATGTGACGCCACTGGGGGGCTGTGGGTTTTCTCTTTGTGTATAATTGAAGTGAAACTATTCATATAAATAGATTTAGCACAGGGCGTGGCTCTGGGTGAATGCTCGTGGATCTAACTACATTTTATAGTGGTTTAAAACGTTGACACTCCTGGCACTGAGAGGTGGGGTCTGTAGCTGCCTCTTCACTCTAGGTGGGTTTGTGACTCCTTCAACTGAAAACTGCAGAAGTGACCTTCAAGCTGCAGAGAAAGCTTCCTTCCCCCACCTCCCTCAGACACTTGCCTTGGGGGAAGCCATGTGGAGAGGCCCTCCAGGTTTCCACCGGACGGCCCCAGAGGAGCTCACAGCCAAAGCCGGAATCACCGGCCGCCAGGTGAGTGGACCACCATGGATGTCCAGCCCACCTGGACATCCAGCCCAGGCTGTCACCTGATTGCAGTCACGAGACAGCCCCAAGCAAGAGAAAATGGCTGTTGTACCACACCTCCTAGTGTTCGAGGGATGGACACATGACGGTGGGTCTGGGGCAGGTGCGTGTGGAGAGCACACAGGCACAGAAGGGGTGATGCCCAGGGAGGCTGGGTGAATGTCCCACTGGCCACGTGACCTCCAGCTCCCGCTGTGTTGAGCCTCAGGTGTCGTTCTGGGGTGGAGGGAGGGGCAGTAGAGCTCCTTCCTCGTGGGGTTGCGGGAATCCCGTGTGTTCATGTCTGTAAACACCTAGAACAGCGCACAACACGTGAAGCCACTGAAGTTTGTCACATTAATGCATCTCGTGTCTTCAGTTAGAATGTCAACAGACTTTAGTTTTAGGTGGTGTCTTACAAGAGTCTAATGTCATTTTTTCAAATGAGGTGATTAGCCTTTTTTTTCCTGTGAATTTTCCAAGAACTCTTTCAAAAGATGAGGCTTTTCATTCCCACAGCATAGGGAGTCACTTTCTGTATCTCAGTGCTAAATCTAGCTGGTTCATTTTTCTGTGCCAACTACTCCATTTTAATACAATGTTTTCATATCCACTGGGTAAGAGCCATCCTCTTTATTCTTTTCTAAATTTTATTTCCAAATATGTTGTATTTATTTATTTCTAAATATGTTGTATTTATTTTTTTAATTTTCAAACATGTTCTGATCCTCTCTCGTGACTCTGGGCAGTGGCCACAGCTCCCCGTCAGTCCCGTGAACACGAGGGTGAACAACCGACACACTTACAACCATTCTGGACCCAGACAACCACTCTGTTTTTCACTTTCAGTACCGTATTCAATAAATTACATGAGATAGTCAACACTTCATTATAAAATAGGCTTTGTGTTAGATGGTTTTGCCCAACTGCAGGCTAATGTAAGTATTCTGAGCACATTTAAGGTGGGCTAGGCTAAACTCCAATGTTTGGTAGGTTAGGCATATTAGATGCAGTTTTGACTTATGATATTTCAACTTACGATGAGTTTATCAGGCTGTAAGCCCACTGTAAGCTGAGAAGATCTGTATCCCCTTTTTGTGGATCATTTCTTGACTTATTTGATTCTAGCTGGCTTGGGTCATGGAGACTCTGGCTCAGGCACGCTCTCCAAACCATGGGCATTTTTTTGTTTCTAATAATAATTATTGTCTCCCTAATTCACTGTGTTCTCTTAGAAGTTTTAAATGCATGTGGCAGCCATTGACCACGCGATAGTTGGTCTCTTGCGGATGAAAAGACGAAAGAGAACAGGGGACATAACCGGCTCCAAGAATACGAGCTTGACATGCTCTCCTGTGAACACCACACTGAGACTCAAGGAGGCAATGGTAACTGAGTCACACTAAGGCCAGTGGTTTTTTATTTTTTTTGGTGGTACGTGGGCCTCTCACTGTTGTGGCCTCTCCCATTGCGGAGCACAGGCTCCGGACGCACAGGCTCAGCGGCCATGGCTCACGGGTCCAGCCGCTGCGTGGCATGTGGGATCTTCCCGGACCGGGGCACGAACCCGTGTCCCCTGCATCGGCAGACGGACTCTCAACGACTGCGCCACCAGGGAAGCCCAGGCCAGTGGTTTTGATCAAACCTCTGGAGTGGCCAAGAGGATGACCAGTGGGGGGCGGACTGTGGAAATAAATATCTAGGCTCAAGACAGGGCTGC